CAAACAAAACTTTATTAATAACATGATGATCGCAGAAACTGCGCATCATGTTCTAGACGACGTGCATCTGCTAATAAAGTATCTATCTACTAAAAACAAAAACAAAAACAAAACATACAAAGAACACTACAACTAATCGCAACATAAAAGAAAAAAGAAATTTAACACTAACTATTTATACGCCTGATTTAACAATTTTTTTAACCAAGCGTTATCGCCAATGTTAAACCCCATCAAACTCCCCACTCATAGATACTTTATTACTAACTATCAATTTCCCTACGCATTTCACACTTCTCAACAAAAAAAGAAACAAAACAAAAAAAAACTACTCTATTTCTCCCTTTCACTCAAAACTTTCAAAAAGTTACCACAGAATTGGCTAGATCCCGCAGTGAAACGTCCATCCTTCCGAAAAGAGCGTTTTCCACCAAAGAGTTGGCTAGGCCCCGCAGTGGAGCGTCCATCTTCCCAAAAAGTGCGTTATCCATAGTTACCTTTTCCATTCACAATGACTTGCACAACGTTAGCTTTTTGTGTTTCTTTGAACAAAACAACTGTTTGTCTACATTTATTCACATTGCTACTGTCCAAGTCAAAAATGAAAATCCAAATCATCATCCAAACTTCTCTCACGTGATTACTGCAGATATGATGGCTGATCCCTTTCTCGGATAAATTTATTGCCGCAATTTGTCCCACAGTAAACCACCTCATTTCCCTGCGATCCAATTGGTTCCTCAAAGAACCTTTCATTACTGCTTTTGGATTCCATCTACGTGCTAAAATTTCTGCTGCGCCGACGAAAAAAAAATTTTTGCAATGAAAAATTCCCAAGAAACCAAAATTTTCAAGCTATCCAAAAAATCTCTTTACTATCCAAAGGCCGTTTTTATTTTAATTTTTTCAAGCCTCTATTATCACTTACTGACAAAACTTTATTTGGAGCAACACCTAGCTCTCCCTGGCTTTTTTTTTTGGGTCACTAACATTGAGTTGACAGTGAGAAATAAATTTTTGGTCGAAAAAATTTAAGACCTTCTAGCAGACTCATTTTAAAACTCATATCAAAATGTTCGGAAAAGACTAAATAAACAGTTGGTAATGTTGAAATGCGTAAAATAATAACTTTCTTTAAGCACTTTTGAACTCTTCCGCCTTTTTCTTTCATCCTAAAATTTTTTGGTCTGAATGATCGGCGGGAAGAGTTCCCCAAAAAGAAAAATATTACTACCATTTATTATTGTACTTTCTATACTTAGTATAATTTAAAATTAAAAATTTACTTTTTTTTTTATTTTTATTTTTTTTTTCAGCGAATACAATTTGTGTTTAACAAGTTGATTGTCATATTTAATGAATAGATATATAGCTGTCTCTTATACACATCTAGATGTGTATAAGAGACAGTGGTGTAACTTTGAAAGAGTGATATTCTTGCGTTCGATCTATTTCGTATTTATCATATCATAATTAACTGACTATGATAACCAATCTTTAAACTAATACATTTCCAGTTAATTAAAACTTTAACTTGATTTTTTTTTATTCTGATGGATTAATACTAATATAATTTTTCTTATTAATTGCATTTATTTGGGTCATTTCCGCTCTCTTAGTTACCACGAATCAATAATAATTTTTTTTATTTTTCAGTTTTTACCGTAAAAACTGAAACTACCTTTTTAGTCTTTTTTTTTATTAATTTTTTTATCCCTCTTTTTATCATTATTGTAACTTAACCAAAATTTTTTCTTATTCTTTTTGTTTTGTTTTATTTTTATTGGTTTTTTAATCGGAATTTATCAAATTTTTTTTAACCCATAGTTTATTCTTTTTTTTTTTGGTTTTGGTCAAGACTATAGAACTATGTCCTAGTGTCCTACGGCTTTTTCGATGTTTTGTGAGATTTTTTTTAGTCAATGATATTGTTTCTGACTAATAAATTCGTGTGAAATTTGATTTAGTAACTTAAATTTTTTTTTAAACTGATCACTGTCAAAATTATACGTTAATTAAATAAAAATAATTTATTGTATTTATTGTGAGAACTTTTTTGATTATTGAGATTTTTTTTTTCGATTTATATGTGAGAACTTTTTTTGTTTATGAGATTGTTTTTTTCAATATTATTTCCGACTAATAAATTTGTGAAAATTTTTTTTGATATTAACTGTTAACGAATATTTTTTTAGTGAGATTGGTTTTAATTATATAGATATTCTGTAATTAAATCTACAATAAATTTTTGATAAATCTATATATCTAAAAAAACTATATAACTAAAAAAATTTGTCTGACGTTTGGATTAGTCTCTGCATAATAATTTGAATTGTGTAACTTGAAATCCCATGCCATATAATTAAAACCGTGACATGCCTCCACCTGATCTATTTATCCGTGTACATTCCAATCAACTAATACAATTTCAGTTAATAAATTTTACCTTGATCGGAATTTTTTTAAGATTATTAATAAACTGAAAAAAAATTTTCTCCCTTTCTTCTTTCGGTTTAGTTTTTTTTTCAAACCCAAAAATTTGTTTTTTCTCAGTTTAGATTTATTTTTTTTTCCCAAACTGAAAAATATTTTTTTCGAATTATTGTCCTTTTTTTTTGGAAATTTCCCTTTTTTTGTACCGATTTTTTTATATCCTTTTTCTTTCCCCCAAATTTATTTTTAAATTTTTTTTTTCTTTCAATTTTTTTTATAATAACATGTAGAAAAGATTTTCAATTAAATTGAACGATGGATAAATAGTTTGATTTTCAAATTCATAAAAATCAAAAAAAAATTGATATTTTTACAATATTTTACAATTAATTAATTAAAGAAATTATTGATTTAATAATAGACTATTATAACCAAATCCATATCCAAAATTCTCTAAATAATCACCAGATTTTTGAATAAAAATTTTAATACAAATGGTTTAGTTAAATTCGAATAAAATGAGTTATCAAAAGAATAATAATAAATGAAATGAAATATTTAATTGTTCAAATATTTTTCCTTTTTTCCATGAATGTGTTCCAAGGCCAATAATCAAGTTGATTATAAGTTTAAAATTGACGTAATATAAAATAATAATAAGAAATAATTATAAAATTTATAATTAATTAATAAAAATATTTGTAGTATTTTCATAATATTAAAGTTTTTTCAAAAATACTTCTGAAAAATTAATCAACTTTTATTGATAATTGTTTTTTCACAATTCCTAATTAATCCGAATTTCACTCTACACTCAAACATCAAATCATTAATATAAATAGCTACATGATTCTAAAAATAATTTATTATTTATATCATTCTAATATTATAAATATAATTTAATACATATTTTTTGTTACCTAATTATTACCATATTAAATTCTAATTATAAACAAAAAACTTCTTTAACTTACTTAGTATCACATTATAATACTAAACCTTTCTATTTAAAAAACTCATTGGTCCCGGTGCGAAGCAACAGGTGACAGTTAGTTTGTTGTTATTTTTAAATCTTATTTAAAAAAATCAATTCGAGAATTTTGAAATGATTGTTTGATCACATTTTTAAGGAGTTGATCACACGGCAGCTGCTGTGTAATAAACAGTTAATAAACAATATTAACAATATTAAGCATCTTTTTTTTTTAATGAAGATGGAACTTTTTGAAAATGAAGCGCAACAGAAGGATATTTAGATAATTTCAGTTACAATTTACGTAAAATCAAAAAATTTTTATTTTTAAAAAATATAAAAAATATTCAAAATTACAAATAAAATTTTAAATTACATAAGATATTTTTTTTATGATACATATGATACATGTTGATATAAAGAAATTTATAGAAATAATAGCTCCAGGCCATTTCGTAACGAATAGTCATTAGGTATAATTTTTTGGTTAAAACTGATCTTCATGTAATAACCGAAGTCGTTAAGTCGTTTGTGCCGTCCCCATAGAAGAAATTTCCGTTTACATTATAGAGCATGAGTTTGTAGGATTACCATCAGGTTTTTCAGTTACTTCGGAAGTAATAATAACAATTGGTTTAGAGGTAATAATTGTTGGATTCATTTTTGATTAATTTACTAATTGAGAATTTAATATTTGTTTGATTTCTTTGATTAATTTGATTAGTTGATTATTTTTTTGTTCTTTGGACTTTTTCTTTTGATGAAATTTTACGAGGTGAAGCCAAGTGTATTTATAATAAACTAAACAAACAAAATTTTAGGCTTTTAAAATATCTATTATCATCGTAGAAAATTAGAATTTTACATAATTTACATTGTTTTATTATTATGTAATTTATTTTTCATTGTTATTTCCTTTCCTATGTATCGTATTGTTTTCTTTTTGATATTCTCCCTTTATGTTTCAAAATTGTCTAGATCATATCGGGTATATCCTTTTTTAGAAATTATTTAAAGATTGGTATAAAATCTATTATCTGATATAGCAATAATATTCATGCGTTACGTCGGCCATATTCCCAACAAGTAAATTGACTGTTGCACAGATTAATATTCTTGATTTGCTTACAGTCACTGTCACGATACATTTCCGTGTGATAACGATAATAATTTATTTATGATATATTTAATTAAACCTTGCAAAATGAAATCAAACCAATTATCATATATTATAATAATATGTTCAATATATTCAATAAATCTTTTTGTTAATTGATGTGTTGACACTATGTAAAAGTGAAAATCATAATATGTCTGTTTGAGAAGCTTAGCATAATATTTATTTATAAATTTGGATAAAAATGGAAAAGTAATTTTCTATCAGTGAATTATTCCAGCGGCAAGAGTTTTCACAATCATCTTATTAAAAAAAAAATGGGTAAATAATAGATAAATAATAATATTAAAAGCAACAATGATAACTGGCCTGACAGTGATGATTGTTTGATTAATTTTATTGTTTGAAAAATTTTTAAAAATGGGTTAATTGACTTATTTTTATTTTTTTAATTATTGAGAATGATTTGATTTATTATTATTATTCGATTACTTATTATCATAAATTCTTAGCAATGATTCTTATTATCTATAGCTTATTTGTCTCTTGTCTTAGTGTTTAGTGTTTCATTTTACGTAAGGTAGTATAATATCACGTGATTGATAATCATTTGTTTTTTATACCTTTTTAACACAAAAAAAGTGTGTTCTAGATCCAGGTTGTGTCACTCACGTGAGCACAATCTGATCCTGTCAAATGACCTCTATCGAAAACAGCTCGTTATTGATAATTCTTGTTATGGAGCCAAAAATAAATAATTTTTACAGAAAATTGTGTAGCAGGTAGTACTCAAATGGGTAGTACTCATATCAGGGATAAATCTTTACGAATGTAAAGTTATTTATAAATAAATAAATATTTAGTTTATATTTAGAACAAAAACATTATTATTCTTGAAAGTTTTTTATAGAATATTTACAAATTGAAAAAATGTTCGTAAAGAAATAAAAAAAAAAAAGACATGTAGTACTAGTTGCCTTTTCTAGAGCGAACTTTTCTTAGTGATCATCTAAAAAAAAAAAACCATGATCTTTGATCTGCAACATATAAAATGATCATACCAGTATCATACCTAAAAAATTTTTTAAAAACAAGTTAAGAATATTTTTTCTTTAACCTTTTTGCATCATTACATTCTTTTATTTATAAATTATTATTGATATGTTTTTCTATTGTAATGTATTTAAATTTTGTGGCTCTACATAATATTCTATGAACTGTTAACAACATCACTTACGTTTATTTTTAAAAAAATTTTAGTTAAAATATTAGCAATTTTTCATTTGTTACAAGCTTAATATATAATGTACACGCTTAACTGAAATACCTTCCTTTGAAAATTTCTCGTGATTGCTATCCAATAAATTTCGTGATCGTGACCTTTTTTTTATTAATTAATTACCGTAAGGAAAAAAATAAAAATTTTAATTAAAATATTGGCATTTTTTTCATTTGTTACAAACCTAATATATAATATAATCTTTGAAAATCACGCTTAAAATAACGACAAGATGTAATTATTCAATCAAATATACAAAAATATGTGGTGTGAAACAAAATTATTGTATTTTAACGAAAACGTTTTGCGACGTAATTTAATAAAACCGTTGCGAAAACGTTTTTTTAGATAGTTTAATTAAAAAAAAAACGTTCTTATTTATTTTTTATTTAAATATAAAAATATTATTTAAAATTTATATTGTATAAATACATTTTCTAAAGTAAACTGAATTTACAATTTATAATATTAAATAATACTTATTTAAAACTATATGAAATATATTTTAAATAAAAAAACTACATAGACATATTTTACACATTTACTCACTGCTGCACAAAAACTAACAATTCTGAAGGTATGATAAAATTATTAAGATACTAAAAAATTTGCATAATTAAACTCAATTATGGTTGAAAAATATTTATTATAAATTCAAATGTCATGATTTTATTAGAAATGAACAAGTTCAAAATAAATCACATTTCATATATTTTATATTTTATAGTCCTAACTCCCCTTTAAACATGAACTCTTGTTAAAACCTTAGTACTAAATTAGATTTAAGCAGTATCAAAAAAAATTCGCGAGAATATTCCTTGATACTGCTTAAATCTTTAAATTATACTAATTTAAAAATTAATTCGTAATTCGTGCAACAATCGGAGAAAATCAACCGAATTAATTAGTGTCGATCGGGGATAAGAACATATGTCGTTTTATATAATAATAAACTATCGTTTTATATAATAATAAACAGAAAAACGTTAGAATCTCTTGTTTAAAGCTCCGAACGGTTCTGGTTTAACCCGAAAACCGAACCGGATCCGGGCCGAAAATCCGGTTCAATTTTACATCTGTTTTTATATTATTCGGGACAAAGTAAAATTTTGAACCTGGCATCCGATTTGGTATTATTATTTGAAATAATTGAAAGTGAAATGAAATTTAAAAATTAAATTAAAAAAAAGCTAAACTAATACTAATTTACTACTTATACATTTAAAACTTTTAAATTACTAAAAAATTAAAGATACAATAAATTAATTGCCCGTTCGGAAATTAAGGAGATGGTCGGTTGATTCAGATTCATCATGAATTTTGGACTACCAAATATCAAAAACATGTTACATTTGACATTTCTGTTATTTCAGTTTCAACTAGTACAACTGGTTAAATTATAAAAAAAATGATCTTTTATTTTTTTTTTTAGATACAAATTGTTAATTTGAAAAATAAAAGTATAAAATTCATGTACTATTTATTTTCACTTTCAAAAAAGTACTAAATTAATAATTTTTTGAAAAAATCTGATTAACGGAAAGTTCAAAGTCAAATGAATCATGATCGCCAGCGAGATTTTTTTTTTAATTAGTAACACATTTTTATTAATTATTTAAACCTTAAAAGATTACATAATTTTTCAAAATACCTAGGGATGTTCACAAAAGATCATAAACGACCCTATAACTAACCATAATGACATAATCTATCTAAACTATCTAAACTAAAATTCTAATTGCTGAATCTAAAAGAAAATATTTGTTCGGTCGGTTACTAAACCAAAACATTTTATATATTTTTTGATTTTATAAAATTTTCCTATGTTTTTTACGTTTTCTAATTCATTAATCACTAAACTCTACTATTCTACCGTAATTTTGTGAAATCAAAGTACATCTAATTTACGTTTTTGTTGGAAACGTATTCGAAAATAGCCAAAAATTCTCCACTTGACTATGTGATCTGCAACCCTTTTCCAACGCAAATCAAAACAAACCTTATATTTTAATTTACTAATGTTGAATAACTTTGATTTATTTATGCAAATTCAAAGTCACCACGGCTCCCTTGAAATATTACGACGCTCCATACTTTTATCTCCACTTGAACTTGTCGTTGCCTCGTTGGCGTTGATTTTTCCAATTCTTTCACTAAATTCGCTATTCAACTTGTTGTAATCTTCATGTTTTTCTTTGATTCTAGGTAATGTCAAAACTGCTAGTAACTTGGGACTCGCCAGTGCGCCTTCAAATTGTTCGTCTTCCACTAAAGAAGTTGCACTATCACTTGTTGAGTTCCTATACCGCAGCTTTGTAAAGACTCGTTCCTTCCTATGATCTCGTCTTGTCCTTTCATCTGCAACCCTTTACCCATTATCATTGATTTGTATATAGCCTTTAACAAATCTCGCTCATTGTTAAAATATATTAAAATGTATTCATTTTGTTAATTTTGATAATTTTTGCAAAATGGCCCCGAATTTTTCTATATGGTCTTTAATGATTTTGAATTCTGACGCACCACATTCCTTATCATCCAACTTTTTAACGGCTTGCCAACTGTATCGTCTCTTGATATCTTTCGTAGCGATTGTTGCGTGATTTGCGTCAAACATCCTGAAAAAATACTGACGTTCGTTTTCGTTATTGTTATATTTGACCTCAATGAAAATTTTTTCCATTTCTTTTGTTAAACGGATATCAGCTCGAACAGTCTTGTACTTGTAGTTACGTTTGACCGCCAATCTTTCCACATATCCAACCTTCTTTAGAGTCTCGTATATAATATCTTCGTCCTTGGAAAATCGTAAAGCTTAATGTCACGTGACTTTCCAGCAAATGTTTTTCCAGAATTTTTCCATTTTGTGACTCTGAAAATCGATTTTTTTCCAGCTTTTTTCCGTCGATTTTGCCATTTAGTGTTACGTTTATCCTTGCTATATTTAGTTGCTTGACTCGTTTGAGGTTGCTCTTTTTCAGTTACATTGATCTCCAATCTTTTTTTAGATTAATAATCTACTCCTCTTGTAGCTTTATTAAACGTGGTTTTTCTGCCACATCTTCCTCTTGTAGTTTTATTAAACGTGCTTTATTGGCCACATCTGCTTCTAACTTCTTCCCACTCACGTGATATGGAATTGTTGCGTGGCAGGGATGAGGCTTGGTCCCCAAGAAACCTGCGAAAATTTTTCCTAACAATATGGCCACTCCAGTATAGCATAAAAAAACAAATAAACTCCACTGCCAGGTTCCTAGACTTATCAAACTTGGGACTCACATAGTCACATCATTGAGCTCATTGGTATTTTTTTCTCTGTCCGTATAAAACTCCACCATAAATTGTTCAGAAACCTCTTCCATCGCAGAATATATATATATTCTAATATTGTTGTATACAATGTAGTGACTTTGTATAATAAATTTTATTTTTTTCCTTCCGTAAAATTTTGGTTTGGAAGATCGGCGGGAAGAGTTATCAAATTCCATCGCCAGCGAGATTTTCCTTACAGTAATACTGACCTAAAGGCTGATTAAATTGACTACGCAGATATTTTACTATACATATCTAGATACAAACTAAGCATTTGTTCTTATAAAAATAATAATTAATTAACACGAAGTCTAACAAAGGACTTTTTTTAACGTGAAATGACACAATGTTCCATTTATCACAATATACAGCATTTTAGACTTACCCGTTTCCGTTTTTCCAGTTTCAAGAAATTTAAATTAACATTTAATAATATTATATGAGAGGACTAACTATTTTTTCTTATTAGTAATTAAAACGTTTCTTATAAATTAAGGCTATTTTATGAATTAAAAAAAAAAATGAAAAATCGAGTTATTTAATTTAGTGATCAAAAAATCACATTAGATGGTAGATTTCACTTGACTCGATTTCAGCCCATCATTATTTTATTTGAATTTTCGAATGTTAAGTCATTTGAATTTAATCAAAGGATATAATCTTTTGGACCATGTTATTAAATACATTTGCTAAAATTAAAAATTAAATAAATTAAAATAATACTTTTAGATGAGAATAAAAATTTTATTTTTAACTTATAGTTATGTATGATAATATATTTAATAAAAGTAAACAAATCGTTACTATTTATTGCTGACTTAACCAAGTCTTTAAAAAACTTGTTCTATATAAAAATTAATTATAATCGTTTCACCCCCCTCCCTATTGTCAAATTAATTCAAATTTTTTGTCGTGAACTCATAAATCTCGTTCACCTCCCATATCTCAATTATTCGTGATGACCGCTTTGTCCCCAGCTGCTAAACTTTTTCCTGAATTTTTGTTTTTGCCGAATTTTGTACCACCAAAATCACCTCAGTGAATTTAATTCGTTCCTTCGAAAAGCCTCCATTACCATTTTTGGAATCTGATCGCGTGCTAAACTTTTTGCTGCGCTGACCGAACAACTGTAGCAACGAAAAAAAAATTCCAAATTCAAAGAGCAAAACTATCAACACCTATGAAAATATGTTTAGTTCTTTATTTTTTGCCGAAGTTATTTATCGCTTGCCGAAGTCTTTTTGCGTGACGAAACCTTACTACCATGTAGCGCTCTGTGCTAACCAAGGAAAATAAAAATTTGTTTTCATCAAAAAAATTAGTGAACTAATATTAAAAGTCTAATAAAGTTTATATCATAATGTTCTTGAAAGAGTGAATAATCAGTTGGTCATGATAAAATAAGTTCAAACGAACTTTTCTATATGCGCACTTTTTGAACTCTTTCACCCTTTGTTCAGTCTTAAAATTTTTGCATGATGATCGGCGGAAAAAAGTTCTTCCCTCAGTCCATAATATCAGAAACTTTAATATGTAGTAGTACAGAATATTAATTAATGTATATGCATTAAATTTCTATTTCTAGTTTTTGTTTTATAAGAGAAAATTTAATCTTTAAAAACAGTAATGTATTTCCACCGACATTCTAATTTTACATAATAAAATACTTTAATTTTTAATACTCAATTGTATATTATCAATTTATGTACTTATTAGTTTAAAGGTAAATAAACAAAAATATTATTCTTCCGTGTGAAACTTATACAAGTAAAATATTATTCTACATATGTAAAAGTATTGTTTTTTCTTTTGTGTGAACTGTGAAATAACTTTACAACATAATCTCCTTCATATAATGTAAATCTTTTTTTAAAAAGAATTTGTTGTTTATATAAATATTTATTTTTTCTCACGATGAAATAATTTTTTTTTTCACTTTCCTATTTATCGTATCATTATTTTATCCCCTTCTGTATACAGATCACCAATAGGTGACGGATACTTAATAAAAAATAAAAAATTTCCGATTTAAAGATTCAAAACAAACTGACGTCAATATTATCTAAAAAGATGTGCTGATTGTGGCGGAAAGACACGATACGTTGATACGCCCAAAAAAATAAATAAACGAGTTTAGAATAATTTGTATTGCGTTTAATTTGCTTAATTTGCTCAAGCTTGACGTGACGCAACTCTGCTTGTACTACATTTTTTTGATCATAAAAAGTCGCGTAAATAAAAATCATTTTGTAAACTTCTTTTTCTCAAAAATTTAACTTGTCGTTTTTTTCTGACTAGTTATTTTTTATTTTTTACTGACTCGACTAACTCGTCGTTTTTTTTACTGACTCGTCGTTTTTTTACTGTTGAAAGCTACTGACTGTCGTACTGTTTCAAAAGTTACTAATCATTGATATTTTGTTCCAGAAAGTTACCGACTTGGCTGACTCGACATTACTGACTCTTCATTTCTTTCTCAAAAATTGCTGTACGTTATTTGTCATTTCTTTTCCAAAAATTACTAACACGCCATTTTTTCTCCTTACTGTACTAACTTGTCATTTATTTCCTGAAAGTTACCATACTAACTATACTAACTCGTCATTCTTTTTCAAGAAATTACTAATTCATCATGATAAATTTTAGAAACGCACGTAGTGAAATTAAAGAACGTGATGAAGATGAGCCACAGCAAGTAGGTATAACTTCTGATATTAAAGCCCTTCAAATTTTTAGATTGCGTTTTCAAGAATGACCTATACTGTGTCCTTGCCGCACTGTATTCAAGTATGCCATTTGAATAAGTTGTTTGTTCTTGCCATATTGTGTGTTAAGAATAACATTTCTCGCCACATTGTATTCAAGTATGCCATTTGAATAAGTTGTTTGTTCTTGCCATATTGTGTGAGATCACCTGCAAAGGTGATTTCAAGAATGATATATTCTTGTCACATGGTATGAGGTCACCTGCAAGGGTGACTTCAAGTTCAAACCATTTGGTATTCTTGCTATATCGTGTGAAACATGTGAGAATGCCGTTCTTGCCATGGTATGAGGTCACCTGCAAGGGTGACTTCAAGTTCAAACCATTTGGTATTCTTGCTATATCGTGTAAGAGAATGCCATTCTTGTCACATGATATGATGTCACCTGCAAGGGTGATTCATAAAATCAATCTAATGAAGTTTCTTTAAGTACTTTTCTTATTGTAAAGAAACTCGGGCTTTGTTATATATATACTGATATTACTCTTAATGCATATTATCATTAACTATCCTTTCTATTAATAGTTTCCATTATTACCAGAATATGAATCTGAGGATGAAATGATAATGATTGAAACAAATGGTGAATCTGAAGATGATAGAGAGGTAATTATTAAACTTTATAAGTGTCAAAAGGTGAAGTTTGATGAGGTGATGTACAATATAACCCTAAAAATATATGAAAGTCATAATAAAATTCAGATATTCGAAAATTTTTAAATTCAGCATGTTTGATTATCTAATTTTATATGATTTACAAATGAATATTTGAATATTAGCTAATTTTTAATGGAAATTCTAGTAGCATCAATTGAGCCTCACTAATTCCTTAACTCCATTCAGACTCAAGATTTACCGGTTGAAGAAGAAGATCTTTATGAGCCATCTGTAATTCGTATTAATGAAGACAGTTCAGAAGAAACTTTGAACTGGAATACGATAAAGGAAAAAGTAGACACATATCGAAAGCAATTGAAAAAGGGAAAATATGCTGTCGAGTAAGCTTTATTTTTGTATAATTATTGTATTTATAGCATTTTCTAACTTTTATATAACTTCATTTTTAGTACGCTATATTATTTTTTAATTGACTACTCTGGTTTTCATGGTCCAACATCAAATCTATTATCTGGCTATTTTCCAAAAATGTTGAATGCACTTCCAAAAAATATGCGGTTTTGTGTTTCAACACTTTCTGAAGAAGAAACAAAATTTTTCGATCTACTTTTGAGGGTAATCATTATTTTTTTATCGCTTGAAAACAATAAGTCAATAAAACATAATTTTTACAGAGTTTTTTATTTGTAGACTGAAGATATTGCTGATATTAAAACGGTAACAGAAGAAGAGAAAATTCTTAAAAGGCTTGCCAATAATATGTGAGTAAAAAAAATATGAAAGATATTTATTTTCCTTTTGAATAAATCATAACTAATGATGCATTTTTTCCAGTTTTGACGCTATTACAATGCATGGGAGGGATGATTTATTTGAAGTTGAACATATGTTTCGCAATATCGTCCCTCTACTTGATGCAACAATAAGGAAGGACAACCATTATCGGGTAAAATAGTAAGTAATGCATGTGTCAATTAACTTATTATATATCATGAGAATTATATTACATTAACATTTATTGCCCAGCGGCGAAACATTACTGGAAGCAACCGCAAATCGCCGAAATAAAGGAACTGATCCCAATGATCGTGCGCGAATTGGATATAAAGTTGATGTGATATTTGAATACCGAATCAGCTGGGCCCCCGTTATTGGATGTATGGAGGTGTCTGGTGGTCTCCCACGGTGTTCACGTTCCAAGGAATGGGATGACACCCGAAAATTAGGCTTGGAACTCCGAGACTTATGGCTGGATGCTATGGAAAAATTAGCAGGTGCAAATGCAAATGAAATAGTCTGGTGGGGTCTTACTGTAGTTGGTAAGTACTGCAATTTACAATTCATGGTATGCTACCTGTAAATAAATAAATGCTAAATCAAAAATGGAAAACTAGGCCTAAAGATTAGAGTATATGCACTTGCTGCCGCCGGTGGACTATTCCATTTAGTCCTAATGTATGAATGTCTTCTCCCAAGTTCTCCGGTAGATCTTGTTAATCTAGAACTTGCATATCTTGTATTGAAAGAATACAAGAAAAAACTAGATGAAACAAGAGACATTCTATGTAAACTCAATCAGGAAAGAATAAAACTGATTACTAGGGGAAAAAGAGGATCAGACGAATTGCTCAGAGAAGTTGGAAAAAAGCCAGAAATTATAAATACGCCGGAACCAAGAAAGCGAAGTAGACAGTAATGGTGATTATATTATTATTTATTAATCTGTTATTTTTATGTATTTATTATTGTATTAAGATATACAACATTTTCCCGCTCTCTAGAACTCCTACGGCATATGATTTCATACATGGCTTCATTCTTCTGGAATTGGTCCTCATACTTTCCCACGTTTACATGCATCATGAAGCCAAGTCTTAAGGTAAGGCGTCAAGGGATTTGTCTGTAGAAAATGCGAGAAGAAAGAACCAGGCTCTTTTGGACTTAGATTTTAGAATTTTAAGAAGTAATTTTTAATACAGTTTTAGATTAGTTTATTTAGAATTTAACATGTAATTTTTAGATTTAAGTAGTAATTTTTAGATATAGTTTTTAGATTAGTTTATTTATATTTAAGTAGTAATTTTTAGATATAGTTTTTAGATTAGTTTATTACTTTGTAGTTTATTTCTTTTTTTCACTGTATTGTTACTAGTTTATGTTTGTTTATTATTATGTAATTGTATCATTTATCTAATAAAATTGAGCGTAAAGCTATTTTGCCCCCCAAACACGCTAAATAATTTGCAAATAATTAATAATGGTTATTATATTTAGATAGTAATTTTAATTTAACTGTTAATATTTTTTTTTTTATTAATATTAACAAAAAAATATTAATTTTTAACTCATTTTAGTACTATTGGTAAAATCATATTTATGTCAACGCGTTTTTTTATTTAGGGTGCATTTTACCATGTCTATACGTAAAGTATTATAAATAGTGTATTTATTAATCAATTATTATATTGGTGAGGGGGTTTGCATCCATCCAAGACGTTCATATCATCTGGTTACTGATTTATCAAGCGGTATTGACTAATTAAAACTGCTGGTTGAAAGTATGCCGGGTAAAAACTGTTATGAATGATAATAGATGGAAAGGAGAATAAATTTGTATTTGTATTTTTTATAAATAAATATAATTGTGTGGTATGGTCCAAAAAAAAAAATGAAATTATTATTTAAAAAATTATCTTTCATTAAAAAAAGATATTAAATAAAATAATTATAATGATCTATTGGTACAAAAAATAAAATANACAAATGAATATTTGAATATTAGCTAATTTTTAATGGAAATTCTAGTAGCATCAATTGAGCCTCACTAATTCCTTAACTCCATTCAGACTCAAGATTTACCGGTTGAAGAAGAAGATCTTTATGAGCCATCTGTAATTCGTATTAATGAAGACAGTTCAGAAGAAACTTTGAACTGGAATACGATAAAGGAAAAAGTAGACACATATCGAAAGCAATTGAAAAAGGGAAAATATGCTGTCGAGTAAGCTTTATTTTTGTATAATTATTGTATTTATAGCATTTTCTAACTTTTATATAACTTCATTTTTAGTACGCTATATTATTTTTTAATTGACTACTCTGGTTTTCATGGTCCAACATCAAATCTATTATCTGGCTATTTTCCAAAAATGTTGAATGCACTTCCAAAAAATATGCGGTTTTGTGTTTCAACACTTTCTGAAGAAGAAACAAAATTTTTCGATCTACTTTTGAGGGTAATCATTATTTTTTTATCGCTTGAAAACAATAAGTCAATAAAACATAATTTTTACAGAGTTTTTTATTTGTAGACTGAAGATATTGCTGATATTAAAACGGTAACAGAAGAAGAGAAAATTCTTAAAAGGCTTGCCAATAATATGTGAGTAAAAAAAATATGAAAGATATTTATTTTCCTTTTGAATAAATCATAACTAATGATGCATTTTTTCCAGTTTTGACGCTATTACAATGCATGGGAGGGATGATTTATTTGAAGTTGAACATATGTTTCGCAATATCGTCCCTCTACTTGATGCAACAATAAGGAAGGACAACCATTATCGGGTAAAATAGTAAGTAATGCATGTGTCAATTAACTTATTATATATCATGAGAATTATATTACATTAACATTTATTGCCCAGCGGCGAAACATTACTGGAAGCAACCGCAAATCGCCGAAATAAAGGAACTGATCCCAATGATCGTGCGCGAATTGGATATAAAGTTGATGTGATATTTGAATACCGAATCAGCTGGGCCCCCGTTATTGGATGTATGGAGGTGTCTGGTGGTCTCCCACGGTGTTCACGTTCCAAGGAATGGGATGACACCCGAAAATTAGGCTTGGAACTCCGAGACTTATGGCTGGATGCTATGGAAAAATTAGCAGGTGCAAATGCAAATGAAATAGTCTGGTGGGGTCTTACTGTAGTTGGTAAGTACTGCAATTTACAATTCATGGTATGCTACCTGTAAATAAATAAATGCTAAATCAAAAATGGAAAACTAGGCCTAAAGATTAGAGTATATGCACTTGCTGCCGCCGGTGGACTATTCCATTTAGTCCTAATGTATGAATGTCTTCTCCCAAGTTCTCCGGTAGATCTTGTTAATCTAGAACTTGCATATCTTGTATTGAAAGAATACAAGAAAAAACTAGATGAAACAAGAGACATTCTATGTAAACTCAATCAGGAAAGAATAAAACTGATTACTAGGGGAAAAAGAGGATCAGACGAATTGCTCAGAGAAGTTGGAAAAAAGCCAGAAATTATAAATACGCCGGAACCAAGAAAGCGAAGTAGACAGTAATGGTGATTATATTATTATTTATTAATCTGTTATTTTTATGTATTTATTATTGTATTAAGATATACAACATTTTCCCGCTCTCTAGAACTCCTACGGCATATGATTTCATACATGGCTTCATTCTTCTGGAATTGGTCCTCATACTTTCCCACGTTTACATGCATCATGAAGCCAAGTCTTAAGGTAAGGCGTCAAGGGATTTGTCTGTAGAAAATGCGAGAAGAAAGAACCAGGCTCTTTTGGACTTAGATTTTAGAATTTTAAGAAGTAATTTTTAATACAGTTTTAGATTAGTTTATTTAGAATTTAACATGTAATTTTTAGATTTAAGTAGTAATTTTTAGATATAGTTTTTAGATTAGTTTATTTATATTTAAGTAGTAATTTTTAGATATAGTTTTTAGATTAGTTTATTACTTTGTAGTTTATTTCTTTTTTTCACTGTATTGTTACTAGTTTATGTTTGTTTATTATTATGTAATTGTATCATTTATCTAATAAAATTGAGCGTAAAGCTATTTTGCCCCCCAAACACGCTAAATAATTTGCAAATAATTAATAATGGTTATTATATTTAGATAGTAATTTTAATTTAACTGTTAATATTTTTTTTTTTATTAATATTAACAAAAAAATATTAATTTTTAACTCATTTTAGTACTATTGGTAAAATCATATTTATGTCAACGCGTTTTTTTATTTAGGGTGCATTTTACCATGTCTATACGTAAAGTATTATAAATAGTGTATTTATTAATCAATTATTATATTGGTGAGGGGGTTTGCATCCATCCAAGACGTTCATATCATCTGGTTACTGATTTATCAAGCGGTATTGACTAATTAAAACTGCTGGTTGAAAGTATGCCGGGTAAAAACTGTTATGAATGATAATAGATGGAAAGGAGAATAAATTTGTATTTGTATTTTTTATAAATAAATATAATTGTGTGGTATGGTCCAAAAAAAAAAATGAAATTATTATTTAAAAAATTATCTTTGAAAAAAAAAAAATCCCAGAAAAATTAATTATAATGATCTATTGGTACAAAAAATAAAATAAATAAGTAATTAATTATGTTAGTCTATTTTATTGATTTTATTGAGCTTGATACAAAAAAATATTATTATTATTATTATTAATAAGCGAATCGGGAAAAAAGGCAATTGCCGTGGCGCTGCAACATCGATCTGATCACCGATCCAAACCTAAATGGTGAAAGAATGTATTCGGGAAAAAAAATTCGATTTGAAAGAAATAAAGCCAAAAAATTTTCGGATTGGAGAAAAAGCCAACCGGAAAAAAAAAATCGAAAAAATAAAAACGAAAAAAAAAAATTTGTTGACCAAAAAGGAAAAGAAAGAAAAAATAAAAAAAAATTGAAAGAAAAAAAAAAGGATAAAGAAAGAAAATCGGGTTAAAAAAAAATAAGTACCGAAAAAAATTCCGAAAAAAAAATGTCAATAATTCGGTCCAAAAAAATTCAAAAAAAAAAATTAATAATATGGTCTAAAAAAAAAGGACCGATAAAAATAATATAAGTTTTAAAAGATTATTTAATAAAAAAAATATTATTAATTTTTCGGTTTTGGAAAAAAAACCAAATCTAAGCGGGAAAAGAATGAAAAAAAAACAAAAAGAAAAGAAAGAGGAAAAAAACGAAAAATTTTTAAAAAAGAAAAAAAAAGGAAAAGAAAAAGGTGTTTCGAAAGAGAAAAGAGGAAATTTTTTAAAAAAAGAAAGCACTATTTGTAAAAGATCAGTTCAAGAAAAAAAAATGATTAAAAAAATGGGGACCGAAAAAATTTAGACCGGTTAGACGATTAAAAATTTCATTAACCGGAATTGGATTACATGTACAACATGACTTGCCGATCAAGCGGGTCTTAACTATAAAGAATACGGACCAGCAATTCAAAATTAATTTATACAGGCTAATCTAAACGTTAGTCACACAAACACCATTTTTTTTAATTATATAGGTAGATAGGTAGATTGATCTTATTTTAAAATACAAACTTCGATATACCGGTTCAAAATCTTACATTGTCCCGAATAATATGAAAACAGCTGTAAAACTGAACCAGATTTTCGGCCCGGATCTGGTTCGGCTTTCGGGTTAAACCAGAACCGTTCGGAGCTTTAAACAAGATATTCTAACGTTTTTCTTTTATTATATAAAACGATATATGTTCTTATCCCCGATCGACACTAATTAATTCAGATGATTTTCTCCTATTGTTACACAAATTACGAATTAATTTTTTAAATTAACAGTTAGTATAATTTAAAAATTAAGGAAAATTCTCGCGAATTTTTCTTGATACTGCTTAATCAAATTTAGTATTAAGTTTAATTTAAAGATTAAGCAGTATCAAAGAAATTTTCGTGAATTTTCTTAATATCATACTGCTTAATTTTAGTTTAGTACTAACCGTCACCTGTTGCTTTTCACCAATAAAATAAAAATAATTGTTTGATATTGTTTATAGTGCAGAATTGTGATCCTGAAGATCGTGATTTTTTAATATATTATTATTTATAAAGGTAAAAAAAAAATACACTTTTCATTCCTCTTCATCAATTTCTTCTTCCCCTTCAATTTCATCCTTTTCAATTTCACCTGGTATTTGCATACCTGCATTTATATATATGTTCTTAAACATTTCTAATTTTGGTTTTTTCTGGTACAATTGTTTTCCATTATCTACACTAATTAGATGTTACTTTTTTTTCTTTAGCTAGTATGAATACAGCCAACTATGAACGTTGGCTCAAACTAGTCGAAACAAACAATCTAAATCGGGAAATGCATAGATAATATTTAGATTATTACGAGAGGTAATATTAGTAGTCATCGTAGTATTTATTGTACTTTGTTCCGGAAGTTGTTCTTTATCAATATTCTGAATATCATGTAGAAATTTAATTATATTAATAACTTTATATTAAAATTATTAGATTATTATTTGATAACTTTAATAACTTTTCCGCACGTATAGCCCTTCTTATTGTTAACGAAATATTGCTGCTTTTTATGTTTGAATGAAGTTTGTGTTCTTTGTTTGTTTGAATTATTTTTTCCAACACTACGTGACAAGTGTCACGTACGACTTTATCACGCACCCTTTTTTCGTCTCTGATTTAGTTTACAGTAAATTTCTAAATCTCTGTAATATTTTAACATTTTTAAGTGATTTAGAAATTTACATCTTCGTATAAATTCTGCTTAAAAGCTATACTGTACCGATTCATCATAAGTTTTTATAATTTTTGTTGCTAGATTTTTTATCTATTGTTCGAGTTCTTGAGGGCATTTCAATAAAGAAGCATAATCTGAATAACAAACATTTAATCAAATGAACAATTATTATTACTATTTTATTCGAAAAGAAAATTACATATAATAATAAATCATTTGCATTTGCATTCATTACATTGAATTACTTCGCTTTGCTTGTTTTTTTCTCTGTTTTCCTTTTTCCCCTCATTATAATTATTCATAATGTATCCAATGGAATTTCTTCCTAAATAAATAACAACTTTGAAAAGGTATTAATTAAATAAACAATCAAACATTTGAAATGTATAGTTTATATAATATGAATTTTTGATCAACATCATCACTCGCTTGTTCTAATTGAGTAGTTATTTCATTACTTAATTCACTGATGTCGAGTGAGTGAAATATCGTATTTTGCTTTAAGAATGCATTAGAATTAAAAAAATTCGCTAATTTTTAGATGATAAATAACGAAATAGCACTTCCCAATAATGATCATAACTATTAAAATGTTGAAAATTAACTACGGGAAAAGGAATGGGTAATTTTTATATGTGAGATAAAAGTTTAAACATTAACTCCGCCATTTTAATTGAATTAAAGCTCAATTCTGAAAAAAAGTAAAATGGATTTAATAAATGTTTCTAGTAATATAAAATTTTCAAAAATTTTTTCTTACCTTTAATTAATAACAGCTAATTTTTCAATATTCGCATATTTGCTAGTAGTAGTATTTGAAGAAATACGTCTTTCCCATCTTTCTTGCGAAGAGTCATTTTCTTGAGCAATATTTGCTATCATGGATAATAATATCTCGTCCAACATTCTTCAAATCAATGTTAATAGCACCAGTGTTTTTTCTGAGACGAATATTGTCAGAATTACAGTTTATAATTAAACTGTTGTAACCAAGCTCCTTGAGTTTGTTATTCGTTTGAATAACTAGAGCAAGGAGCTCATTGTCAACTTCACGCGGTGCTTCTGTGCAAGAAAGAAAAATATCATGTAACTTTAACAAATTAACGCGATAATTGTAAAACCGCAAATTTTTAATTACCTTTTCCATCATCATCATCATCTTCTTCTTCTTCTTCGCCATCATTATTATCATCTTTTTCTTCTTCGTCATCATCATCATCATCTTCTTCTTCTTCGCCATCATCATCATCATTTTTTTCTTCTTCGTCATCATTATCATCATCATCTTCTTCTTCGCCATCATCATCATCATTTTCTTCTTCTTCGCTATCATTATCAATATCTTCTTCTTCGCCATCATCATCATCATTTTCTTCTTCTTCACTATCATTATCAACATCTTCTTTTTTGCCATCATTATCATCATCATCTTCTTCTTCACTATCATTATCGTCACCTTCTTCTTCTTCGTCTACATTATCATCATCTTTTTCTTCTTCGTTATCATTATCATCAACTTTTTCTTCTTCGCTATCATCATCATCATTTTTTTCTTTTTCGCTATCATTATCAACATCTTGTTTTTCGCCATCATTATCGTTATCTTCATCTTCTTCTTCGCCATCATTATCATCATCTTTTTCTTCTTCGCCATCATTATCATCATCTTCACCATCTTCTTCTTCTTCGTCATCATTATCATCTTCTTCTTCTTCTTCGCCATCATTATCATCATCTTCTTCTTCTTCTTCGCCATCATTATCATCATCTTCTTTTTCGCCATTATCATCATCTTCACCATCTTCTTCTTCTCTCTTATACACATCTAGATGTGTATAAGAGACAGCCCTAAAAATATATGAAAGTCATAATAAAATTCAGATATTCAAAAATTTTTAAATTCAACATGTTTGAATATGATAATTTTACATGATTTACAAATGAATATTTGAATATTAGCTAATTTTTAATGGAAATTCTAGTAGCATCAATTGAGCCTCACTAATTCCTTAACTCCATTCAGACTCAAGAATTACCAACTGAAGAAAAGATAGAATATAATCCAACTGAAGAAAATGAAGAAAATGTTGATCTAATAACTGGAGAAAATAAAGATGAGACAGAACTTGATCTTCATGAGCCATCTGTCATTCATGTCAATGAAGACAATTCAGAAGAAAGTTTGAACTGGAATATGATAAAGAAAAAAGTAGAAACATATCGAAATCAGTTGAAAAAGGGAAAATATGNTCATCTTCTTCTTCTTCTTCGTCATCATCATCATCATCATCATCATCTTCTTCTTCATTATCATAATTATCATTGTTAACATCATAATCATCATTATTATTAGTATCTTTTTCGTTAACTTTTTTAGTTTTATCATCATACGTAGATGTTACTATAAAAAAGAAATGTCAGGTATCTTTTTAAAATTACTAAACTGATTTTTTACATACATTTTTCTTCGTGTATACTATGTTCTTCAGTTGAATCCATATTGTTTGTAAAATAGTAGTATAAAGAAATCAAAAGATTTATAATTATATATTACAATAATATATGGAAAGAAAAATTTTGTACAAGTATGAAAAAAAATTTGTGTCTATATATAAATTTTAAGATTGATGATTAATCATGATTCTAAAATTTTTTTTTAAGGGTTAAAATCAGGCTATTAATTAGATTGATTAATCAGTAAAATTTTTTTTTAAAACCGGGTGCATCAAGTAATCAGTAGGTATCAAATGATTATTTTAATTATTTTTATTTAAATTAATGCCAAAAAAAAAAATTGTTTTTGAATACAAATAAATGAAATACAAATAAATGAAATATTGTTCAAACTTACTAAAGTATAAATAAAATATATATATATTTTTTTTTTTATTAAATTCTTCTATCATAGAAACGTCAAGAAGATATATATTTTATACTACACATTACCAATATTATAAAATTATACCGCTCAATAAATTTTAAGGTACATTATTAAATTTTAGTATACATTTAATTAATTAAATAAATTTTGATTATCATCATTCATTTTTTTCATTTCGTTAATTTTTTCATTAATTTTTTCTTAAAAAAATTCTTGAGAATTTTCTTAAGAATTTAATGGAATATTTTCTTGATAACCTTATTAGAATCAGTATACCTTTGATATCAGATGAATCATCATCAAAATTCTTAATTTTTTTAGATTGATTATTTTGGTTCGGGTTCATCAGGCCAAAAATGAAAATGTTCTAATGCTTCATAATCTTGTTATTTGATTTACTCTAAATCTTAATAAAACTCACTTGTTAACCGTTCCACTTAATGTATCTGATTTTTACATTAATTTTAGGATTATTAAACCTAGATACAAATAAAAAATTAAAATTAAATAAAATAAATTACCACGACATTAAGCTGACGAATATTTTTATAGCCCTTAAATATATCAAAAAAAAAAAAAAAAAAAAAAAATTATAAACAA